TAATCGGGATGGGTGTGTCAGAGGCAATGCGATTGGCACAGGATAGAGCAGGGTTTAGGGCTGTTGTACATAGGGTAACTATGAGTCGCAAACGACTCGACGGCACATAACAACAACAACAACAACCTGATGGCTGACTTGCCCATTGCAATACATCTCCTGATCTCCTGGCTGCTGATACCAAGGGTGTTGATTGTGGATTGAAGATTAAATTATTGACAATTTCAATCTTTTCTCCATCTAGTATAATGTTGCCATAGGTGAAATTTGACTGTGTGGATCATAACAAACTATGGGTAACACTGATAAGAATGGTCCTATACCAGTCAGATCCGATTTGACAGTATACACACAGAAATAATAAATTTTTTAAAAAAAGAGTAACTAACACTGAGAACAGTAGGCGTCCAGAAAACAGAAAAGTTTATAGTAAAATGCACATACAAAACGTATACCTATTCCAAGATGTTTTCCAAACAGAGCAAGGGAACATTGCAGGGTTTATAATCAAGAAAAGTGTGCCAATCTATCATAATGTTGCCAATGGGTCCTGAAAATTTTTGGCTTTGTATGTTGAAATGTAATCCATATTGAATGCACTTGATCTTCTGCAGCAAGTACCTCAAGTCCTCCTCACTTTCCACATGCAAAGTTGTGGCCTCTGCATAATGCAGATTGTTAATGACTCTTTTCCAGTCATGATGCCATATTCTTGTTCATAGAGTCCATGAAGTGTTCTAGGTACTTTCTTATTTTTTTGGTGGATAAATTTGATTTAAAAAAAAATTCTACTAGTGAATTTACAAAATTCAAGTATAAATTCAAACAAATTATTTCCATTTTCCCCACCCCCCACCCATCAAAATGTACAACTCGATGATTAATCCCCTCTCTCCCTGCACATCCATAACCCTCTGCTTCCAACTTCTCCCACTCTCTTGAATCCTTATACTCATTCTACAATAATGGTTTTATACAATATTTATCCTTGTGGGACTGAGTTAGTTCACTCAGCATAATGCTTTCCAGTCCCTCCCAAGTTAGGTAATAATTTACAAAATCATTGTTCTTGCGTGCTGCATATTCCATTGTATTCCATTGCATGAATGTACCATAATTTCTCAATCCATTCGTTTGTGGTTGGACATTTGGGCTGTTTCCATGTTCTAGTGATGGTAAATAATGCTGCTATGAACATTGGTGTACAAATTTGTGCCTCAGTTCTCATATTCTCAGGGTATTTTCTATATGATGTCATATACATAAATGTTCTGACTCTTTTAACTAAAATCTAGAAGAACTGTTTAAATTCATTAAAAAACAAAACGTTATATATCTTACATACCCAGCCATCTTCTGCAATTTTTTAATAAGTACATATTAATTCCATCTCATGTATATACTTAGTAATAAGCCTTAAAGTTTTTCTTATCATACCATATTTATCCATGTGCTCTTTTCCAGCAAGTGAAAACATCTGCAAAGCCACTGGGTGTTGAGAAAGTCCATGCTTATTTATCATGACCTCCACGTGTTTATCGATTGGGTTGGTTCTATCTACAGTCTTAGAAAAGAGAAAGAGAAAAACCCCAAAATTTTAGAAAAAGCTGGCAAGATCATTTTCTCTTTCATCTATTTGTTTAATTTATATATGTTTAATTTACTTTATATATGTTCAATTTATGAGGTTGTCATATACTGTAGAGTCTGAACAGACTCATAGCAGACCCTCCAGCAGGTTTTCAGAGACAGTAAGTCTCACAAGAAGAGACTGTCCATCTTTCGCCGATGGAACAGCTAGTGAATTAAATATGCACACCTTTTACTTGGCAGCATAACACTTGTCAGAGCCCCTGAGTGTAAGAGTCAGTAAATAAAAAATGTGATTCAAGTCAGTAGATTCTCTGCAGGAAAATAAGAAAAAATAATCAAGTGATTAAAGAGGTATTAAGTCTCCCAGGAAATATTTTTCCCCCCCTATGGCAAGAAGCTGCACTGCAATCCCAGTATGTGCCAGTAATTATTCTAGACAGAACCATAAATAAAATAGAAAAAGCCCTTATTCATCTTGTATTTATATTAGGGAACGAGGGGAAGGCTTATAAGGTAAAAATGTAAATAATAATTATCTAAAGAAGATTAAATA